ATCAAGATGTCCTCTGCTCTATCTTTGCAGTCCACAGCTTTACTGGAGCTTTCTTTTTGGCCAAACTCAAAACGTTTTAAATGACTCTGCTAGGCTCTTTGCTCTGGATTCTCAACATAGATCTGGCCAAAAGCCCTCAACAGCAGCCATGCTATAGCCTCAACATTAGAATGCCTTGAAATTTCGTCTGCCAGATTAGTTAGTCCATCGCCTTTAATCTCAGTCTCAGACAAAGTCTCTGGACACAAGCAAAATGCAGACAAATTTTCTGCCAACCCATAACACACATGTCTGGGGTCCAGCAGCCAGGGCAGTCCTTCCCAAGAGAAACCTCCTGAGCCTGGTCTTTACCGGCTTTCTGGTCTTCTGAGCTCTGACCAGAATCTCCCTTGCAGAACAGCCTAAGGTGTTCCAGCTCTACTTCTGTAACTGACATCTCTGAATTTTTCCTAACTCTTCCCTTCCCATAAAATAGTTCCAAAGATTCTTTGGCCACATGACCAGGTAATGTCACAGCAATGACCACACTCTCCATTCCAAATTTCTGTGTTAGTTACTTTTCTCTCATTACTGAGACAAAATACTGGACACCCAAAGTAGAAGGGGAAGGGATTTATTTGGCTTATAGTTTGTAGAGGTTTCAGTCCATAATCAGCTGGCTCCAAGACAGGGAGGATGGCAGTTATCCCAGAGGAGAAACAACATGGTAGCACAAGGTAACAAGGGCAACAAGGGATTAAACATTTATTTTTATATAAATTCGGTAATCACAAATCATTAAGTTAGCTAAAGGTGTTTAAGATCTTCCTCTTAGTATTATTATACAGATTAATTTCCATTCCTTGTATACTTAGAAGAAAGCCTGGTCCAGAACACAGCTCAGTGGGTAGAGTGCTTGCCTAGCATGCACAAGGCCCTGGGTTGAGTCCCTGAGGAGTGCAATCAACCAGTTGATAAACTGCAAACCTTATAATTTAAACCTAACTTCATTTTAGAATTGAGCTGAGAGGCCCCAAAAGGTAGTATCTCACTCAACTGGGGTCTCAGCTAAATAGTGTCAGAATGAACATGGGAACTAGTTTTCTGACATTATTGTGTTCTCTTTCATTTCCTTTGAAATGCATTTTGTTTTATTATTAAATAAATACAGTAAATCCCTGACTTACAAATGAATTCTATTCCAGGAGAACGCTTGTAAGTCAGATTCCTTCATAAGTCGGACAAAGTGAGTCTTACACACCTTTGACACAAAGATACAATGTATGTTGCCTTGCACTTCCTAGAAGTCCCCTCACCACTGCTTTTCCTCTTGGTTCCATCCTGGCCTCTGATTGAGCCCTGTACTACTATACACTATCACACTCTACAGTAAGCACACAACAGCACAGCTGTGACAGTGTCCAGCAGACATGGGAGCTATTTCTGTGATTTGTTCGCATCTATGAACGTTCGTAATGCGAGGTCCATTCCTATCTGTGCAGGTTCCCAACTCAAATGGTCGTAAGTTGAGGACTTACTATAGCAGAGAACAGCAAAACAGTTTTCTAATTAATGACAAATATTATAACTACCACCTGCAAAAGAAACAACTCTTCTGTTCACTTCAGAAGTCCTCTGTATGCTAATAATTATGCCTCCTTCCCCCCGCCCCCCACATCAGAGTAATCACTATCCTGACACTCACTGATGAAAGTAGATCTTTGGTTCCATAGAATTAGTCACAGTTGTGATTTTGTTGATTTCATTTCCAGTTAGTTGAGGATTCCCATCCTTTGTGTTTCCTGCAAACCAGTTATTAAATCTAGATCTATTCTTTCCAGTATGGTAGTCACTAGCCACATGTCATTTAAATTCATTTACATAAAAGAAAAGGTCCTCAGATACAATAGCTGTGTTTCAGGTGCACAATAGCCACATGTGGTGATACCTACCATATTATACCGCACAGGTGTAGAACATTAGTATCATTATAAAGAGTTTTATTAGACACTTCTTATTGGGAGGATTAATTGAATTCAAATCTGATTTTTAGAAAGAAGTCTACTTCATATATAACTTTGCAAAGTCTGTTTGCCTGCCTGCATATCTATCATTCTATGGTCTCACTGTGTAGTCCAGGCTGGCCATGAATTCACTTTGTAGCCTAGGTTGGCCTCAAACTTGCAGCTATCCTCTTGTCTCAGCCTCCCAAGTGCTGGGATTACAGTTGTGTGCCACCATGCCTGGCTGTTTGCCTTTTTATTTGTATTCTTAACAACTTGACAATGTTCGATCCTTTGTACATTGGGTTTTGTGAAATGGAAATACTTCAATTTTATCATTCTTCATTTTTTGTTGGAATACATAACTGTGTGCATGTAGGGCCTTGTGCATGCTGAGCCTGTGCTCTACTCTTGAGCTGGAGGAGAATGTGAAGGGCAGCCTCTCTTCTTAATAGTATCATAAATATGAGTATATTTTAGTGAGGCATGGGGAGGATATCTGAATGGGGAAAGTTGCACATCTGTTCATTCTTTCAGATAAAGTTTCTGAGCACTTTCTGGGAGCTGCAGGATTTTCCGTGCTTTGGAATACAGTAATAAACAAGAACAAAGCTACTTCTTATAATCTAGAAAAATGTGGAATTATTGATAATTTGAGTTCTTTGAGGAGATAGGAGAATGAATGACCTTAAATATAAATAAAGACAAGCCTTTCACCATGCAGAGTTGCAAAGGAAGTCTGGATGAGTGTAACTGTAGATAATTTTTCCTTAAATCCTTTCATTCTTTCTTGCATTCTCATCCACAAATTTATGACTACGGATAGAAATACATTCTGGGATAAAAAGTTTTCTGGTATTTTTAAAATATAAATTAGATACTATGAATTTGATGTAAAACAGTACCCTCAAATGAGAATGCTGTGTACCTGAAGCTTGGTATTATATTGTCCTTAGACATAACACTGGCAGTGTTTCCTACCTTTTTGATGTATTAACTGTTCTTCTCTAACTGCTAATTTGTATCTTCTCATACTAAGCCAGTATCCTCGGTTCCTAGAGGTTAGAAGAGAACATCTGTTCTCACCCACCACCTATTTGCATATGTAGCTGTAAACCGTGTCTTCCTTCTGATGATGTAAATGGACAGAAGGCACTCTTACCTAATAATACCATCCCCTCGATCCTGTCCCTTTCTGCCTACTTAAAAATATGACTCCAGCAATTCTCTCATCTTTCCTATATAAATTTTCCCTTTCATTCCCATTGTTATATAAACAGTTGAATATCTCCTTTAAAAATAACTCTTTTAACTGCACATCTACTTCCGGCTACCATCCATTTTTCTGCTTCCTTTTATAGCAGTCTTACTTGAAAAATTACGTACCAGCTATCTTCAGTTCTCTTCTCCCATTTTCTTTTTGAGATCAGTCTTTCGTAGTCATCACTCTAACTAAACAATCCTTCTCATGGTCATTGTTGTCTTCCTAATAAAGACAATAGTAAGATCTCAGTCCTTACCTTATTTCCTTAATTTAACAGTAGCTTTTGATATAATGAATTACTCTGGACAGAATCTTCGCTTCTTTTCTGTGACACCATACAGTATTTTCCTTTAACTAAACTGGTTACTCTTAACCTCCTCTGCTTTTTTGTCCTTTCTCGTTTCTGAGACCTCCAGAGTTTAGAGGGCCCAAGGGATCACTCTACTTGTTCTCATCCAGCCTGGTGGCCTTAAATAGCATCAGTGTACAAGTACATTCTCCTCTGAGTTCCAAACTTGTATGTCCAGCTTTCTACTTGACATCTTTCTTCATTGTTTAGTAAGCATTCCCTATTTAACGCATCTTCCCCCAAAACCCAGACTCCCTTACCTTATCAGCCTGCTCTTTTTGTCTTCCTTTTTTCAGTAATTAATAATTCTTTTATTTCCAGTAGTTTAAATAAAAAATTTAATTATCCTAGACTCCTTTTTTTCTGCACTTTGTGTGGAGTCTATTACTATTCTCCCAGTTTTAACTAAAAATTACATATAGTGTCTGATCACTGTTGACCTGGTCCAAACTGCCATCATCTCCAATTTTGATTATTTCAGTAGCACCCCCTCCCTCTTTTTTTTGAGACAGGGTCACTATCATGTAGTTCAGACTGGCCTTAAACTCAATATCTGTAGTCCCTGCCGGCCTTGAACTTGAGGCGATCCTCCTTTCTCAGCCTCAGAAGTAATGAGATACAGATGTGTCCGACCACACCCAGCTTTCAGTAGCCTTTTAACTGCTACCTCTGCTCTGCCATTGACCCCGCTGTGTGGTCCTAATACTGGATAGAGCAGCCAAGAATGATGTTTTTTAAAACTCTGGAGTAGAGAATAAAACCCACAGCCCCTATATTTTAGAAAACCTTACAGTGTTTGTTGTCCTCTTCCCTTCTCTTTCTACATCTTTTCCAATTTCTCTGCCTCTCTCTCTGATCGCATTAGCTTCCTTCAGGCCAACTTGGGGCATGTTTTTATTTGATTTTCGCTTTCCAGACAACCTGCATTACTTATTCTCCCAATCCCTTCAGATCTCTTTCTAATGTCTCCTTAGCAGAGAGGCCTCTTGATCACCTTCTAATAATTGTGACCACATTCACAGCCTTTTCTGCCCTTCTTTTATTTCTCTGTGGCATACTATTACTCGTTCATTTTTAAAGTTGTTTGTATGACTGTACAAACATATGCTCCCACTGTATCATCCAGAGACCAAAAACTCTGTGAGTGCTGTGTCCCTTACTTCCTAGAACAGTGTTTGCCACAGAGTAAACATTGAAATCAATAGTTGTTGGTGAATGAGTGTTCTTTTTTGTATGTCTTCATCCTTAAGTTTAAGGCAGAAGATTTGATTTGTAATCCTCCCGTATTAGAAAATAAGAAGTAGAAATTACATGTTTTGAAAATATTTATTGAGTACCTTTGGCATACAAGGAGATTATAATAATGACCAAGGTAGCTTATCCTAGAGAGGTTCTTTGGGAAGAGCAGGCAAACTATAGTAATGTTGTCCTGATCTTAATGTTAATTCTGAAAAGTTTTAAAGTGCAATTTCCAAGGATATTACAGATAGTTTACAGATCTATATATGTCTTCATAATCTCATTGGATTTCGGAGCTAGAAGGGACCTCACAAATCATTTAGTTTAACTCTTATTTTGCAGATTTGTTTAAATCATGCACAGGAAGTATAAGGACCTTGCCCGGTAGTGTTCCTGTCCTGTTAGCAGTAGACTTCAGGAAATAGGTCTGGTCTTCTGATTTTCCAGCCAGTCTTTTCCAAAAGTGGACAGCTTAGCAGGTTAAATTCGTTACTTTTATAGAAAGTTTGAAATGGATTTACTTTATCTCAGGCAATAAAATCAATTTTTTTACCTTTTTTTTTTTTTTTTTTGGTACCAGGGATCAAACTCAAGACCTTCTACTTGGGAGGCAGGCAGTGGCACCACTGAGCTAAATCCCTGCCCCACCCCCTTTTAATCATTTAAAAGTAATTGTGTTTTTAAGCATGTGATTAAAGTTGGGAAAATGGACTGAATTTAGTGTATCCATTTCTCTTAAAAAATCTATTGCAGGGAAGCTCTTTCTACTCAATTGGATCTAGCAGAAACAAAAGCTGAGTCCGAGCAGCTGGCTCGAGGACTTCTGGAAGAACAGTATTTTGAATTGACCCAAGAAAGCAAGAAAGCTGCTTCAAGAAACAGACAAGAGATTACAGATAAAGATCACACTGTTAGTCGGGTAAGTGTGATAGGTAAATTATATGAGTAAAATTGACTTAAAATAGGCTACATTTAAAAATGTTAGAGGCCATGTACATGTATGTACATGTTTGCTTATACTTCATACATAATGATCATTACTTACTTGTGTATTCAGTAGTTTAACCTAAAACGTTAATGATTGGAATGATTCAGTATATTAGACTTTTTTTTTTCTGTTGCTAGATCATACCTATATTTTATTTTTTTGGTACTGGGGATTGAACTCAGGTCCTTGTGCTTGTGCAGCAGGCGGTGAAACCACTGAGCTCAATCCCCGGCCCCTTTACCTATATTTTATATGAAGAAATGTTTAGGTTAAGTTCATTTGTTATTTTCTTACTACACAAAAATTGATTCCATGAGGCAGAAGTCCTTAAAATTCAGAGAAATCATTTTGACATGAGAAATTCTTTGTGAATAGTTTACATAGGCATTATAAGCAACTAATACAGTAAACCAAATAATTACCTGTTCTTGAGGTTTATACTATAGTCTGTATAGAATCATGAGACTAGAGGTGGAAGTTAGATTTTTCTTCTTCTCAGCTTTTCTTTTGTGGGTGGGGTACCGGGCCACAAACTCAGGACCTTGGGCTTGCTGCAAGGCAGGCGCGGTGCCCCTGAGCTGAATCCCCGGGCCAGATTTTTCTTCTTCTGAAGTCACCATCAAGCGCTGTGTGTGAGCACCCCTGGATTCAAATACCAGCTTTGGCCTAAGAAATTGTGTGATTTTAGCCACTTGCTTTAATGTCACAAAACTTCGGATTCCTCATCAATAAAGTAGAAATAAGCCAGGTATGGTGGCACACACCTGTTTTCCCAGCATTCGGGAGGCTGAGGCAGGAGGATTGCCATAAGTTCAAGACTAGCCTGAGCTACATGAGACTGTGTCTCAAAAAGAAAAAAGAAGTAGAAATAAAGCCCATACCACATGATTGATGTGAGGATTAAATGAAAATAACATAGAATGGTCAATAAATGCATAAGCAGAAGTAATAAATAAATATTTTATTGTCATTTTTACCATTATTTAAGTTAAAAATGAAGCCCAGGAAGGGTGCTAACTTGCCATGGTCACATAGTAGGTTCATCATATAGCTGGATGGAGCTGTGTATGTGTACATTTGAGATAATTTGGGGAGCTAATAATTGTTCCAAAATGTATCTACAGATTTTTTCTATATATTAATCTACATACTATATATCTACATATTGTACATATGTCTAGTTACATATTATATAGATATAATGCATATTATCTACGTATTAATTATATCTACATATTTTAATAAAATAGTGGAAAACATGTATTTTCTATTGTTAAACAATGTCTGGGCTGTTCTCATGGAAAAGATTTTAGCTCTATGAGCAAAGCAAAGAGGCTGCAGCTTAAATTTGTGTGTTTTGTTTAGCTTGAAGAAACAAACAACATGCTAACCAAAGATATTGAATTATTAAGAAAAGAAAATGAAGAGCTGACCGATAAAATGAAGAAGGCAGAAGAAGGTATGTACGGTTTTTAAAAAAAATCACAGTGTTAAATTCAGTGATTGATGTTTGTAGCTGACTCACTAGGCTGGCCTTGTTTTGGGAGCTAGACCTGCTACTTTGTTCTCCCTGACCCAGGACAAGTGAGCATGAATGACAAACAGTTTAACATGTGCGCAGCCAGGGGGCTCTCGCCTCTACTAGGCAGAACAGCCAACCAATACCCCCAACTCCCCGCATCGGTCTGGCTCATTTTGCCTTTATTCACCCAAACACGGGCCCAAGCAGTGAAAGTAACCCAAGACCCATCTGCTTTCCAATATCCATTAGCACACGCTCGTATTCAACTCAACCTCAGCTGTTTCAAGTTTTCCCTAGAACCTGCCATGTGCAGTCACCCCCCCCCAAGTGCAGCCTTTGTCCTTCATGCTCCCAGAGGAGGCCAGTTAGGCCTCAGTTCTCTTCTGGTCTCCCACAAATGTTTAGCTGTTTATATTGTTTGTATGTTAGGTTTTTTAAATACCTGTTTTCTTGTATAAAATAACATGTATAGCCTTAAGAATTAATGAAATTACTGAAAGTTATTAGTGTATAGTAATTTGAATTTGAAATGCAAAGATTAATGTTATAGCATAACATTTTATATAATTGGTTGGCAGAATATAAATTGAAGAAGGAGGAGGAGATCAGTAATCTTAAGGCTGCCTTTGAAAAGAATATCAATACAGAACGAACTCTTAAAACGCAGGTATGCATGCTTTAAGACTTTCCCACAGATTTAATATATATTCTAATATATTTTAGTATCATATATTAGAAAATTAATAATTGTTCTTTATGAACTTTTTCCTAAAACTGAAGTCATAAGGTTCAAGCCTTTCATTAAAATAAAAAATATGGATTCTCTCCCCACTAAGTATAGAAGACTTATGTAAAAAACAGGATTTCACTTAAGAAAGCTAGTTTGTCTAATAAGAATGTGATTTAAATTGTATTGAAAATCTATTATTGATGTTAGGAAAACATGGTGAAGAGAAATCATATGACTGGAAGTAAGAGATTTGGAAATAAATCAGGAACTACAGGGATAGATTGTCGTTTTGCTTTGTATTTTATGATGCATTTAGTCAAGTTATCTTTTTCCTGTTAACTTGCTATCTTTTCGTTTTACTAAGTTATGCAGTAATTAAAATCCTTTATTGTCTACTAAGTTCTTTAGTTGATTTTTACAGTAAAGATGTTTTCCTTGTGATTACATGATTATGTAGTCTCTCTGCTTAAATCTGCTTTCTCTCGCATCAGTCCTTTGTGTTGCAACGTAATCTTTCAAATATGTACTTAATAAATATTGAAAATCCTTCATTGCAGATTTTACTTACCTTATATATCAAGACAGCATGAAGGAAAAGATTGACTTTGTTACATAAAATTTCAAATGTCTGGGGCCGGGGATTTAGCTCAGTGGTTCTGGCGCCTGCCTCCCAAGCGCAAGGACCTGAGTTCGATCCCCGGTACCAAAAAAAAAAAAAAAAAATTCAAAACACCGTAAGTTGAAAGAAAACAGAAGAACATTTAATAGCATTTATTTTTATAAATCAGTACAGCAAGAAAAACTCCAGTAGAAAAAAAAGTAAAAAGGACTATTGAGACAGAAATAATGAAAATTTAAAAAATGTTCAACCCCAATAATAAACCAAGAAATAAAAATTAAAACAATAATGAGGTATCTTTTTGACAGATAATCATATTTAAGTGAGACAAAATGCCCAGGTTTGTCAAGAACATGGGGGAAGTTCATTCATATACTGTTTTAGGGAATAAACTGTGAGAAGAATTTAATTTTATGTGCTTGATTTTGACGGACTACTACACAATTTATCCTACATAAAGGCTTCCATAAATACTTAAAAGAAATAAATACAGCCAGACATGGTAGTGCATGCCTGTAATACCAGCACACTAGGAGGTTGAGGCAGGAGGATCACAAGGTCGAGCTCAGTGTGGGCAACCCAGCAACTTAATGAGACCCGGTCTAAAATAAAAATAAATAAATTAAATAAATAAAAGCTGGGGTTATGACTTAATGAAGAGGCCTTGGTTCAGTCCCCAGAAAGAGAGAGAAAGATGAGGGGATGACCATTGCAACATTATTTTTAATAGTGAAAAAATAAAAACAACTCATCAATAAATCATGATACATTCATACAATGGAATGCAAGAGAGCCTTTAAAAATAAACGAAGTATGGGCAAGGGAAGTATCCCGTCCTCCACGCGCGTGTGCGCCGGCCCTGAAGTGCTCGTGGGTCCGCGATATGACTCTGCGGGACAGAGGCAGGAGCCATGGGTGGGACCGCCAGCACCTGCCGAGTCACCTTGAGGTGGACGCGAATGAGAAGAGAACATGACCGTGGTGAAGGGCATCTGGCTTTCAGAAAATGTAATTGATTGAATGAAGGAATCCTCCACATCTGGTTCGAAGTCTCAGCGTTATTCTGGTATTTATGGTGCCTCAGTTTCTGATGAAGAACTGAAAAGAAGAGTGGCTGAAGAACTGGCATTGGACCAAGCCAAGAAGGAACCTGAGAATCAGAAACAACTAAAGAAAAGCAAGGACCTAGACTGAGAGAGGGCTGCAGCCAATGAGCAGTTAACCAGAGCTATTCTTCGAGAGAGGATATCAAGTGAGGAAGAACGCTTGAAGGCAAAGCACTTGGCTAAGCAGCTGGAAGAGAAAGACTGAAGGATAAAGAAGCAGGATGCGTTTTACAAAGAGCAGCTGGCTAGACTGGAGGAGAGGAGTTCAGAGTTCTACAAAGTTACCGCTGAACAATATCAGCTGCTGAAGAAGTAGAAGCAGAGTTCAAGCAGTATGATTATCATCCAGTCTGTGCTGATCTGCAGGCCAAAATCCTCCAGTGTTACCGTGAGAACACCCACCAGACCCTCAGCTGCTCTGCTCTGGCTAAGCAGTACATGCACTGTGTCAATCATGCCAAATAGAGCATGCTGGAGAAGGGAGGATAAAATCAACTTTAGAACATGCAAAATTTTAATTCCAGAAGTGGAACACTTTTTTTCTGAGTAAGAAAATAATGCACTTAAAAAGAGAAGACCACTAAAGAGAAGCAGCAGGAAATGAACTCAACAGAATCATACCATGTTTTGATCAACAGCAGTTTGAGAAGCCAAGGTCTAGATCAGGAATCAGTAAAGGACACTGTTCTGTTCCAGTAAACCCAGTTTTTGAAAAAATAAAAGAGAAGGGCAGTGCTCTCCAAAATAAATAAATACATAAATAAATGAAGTAGACTTTGTGATAAGGGAAAGTAGTATTTCCTATGATACAGTATTAAATGAAGAAAAGCATGTTGTAGCACTGAATATATGAGATATAATCAAAATAAATGGTAAATGTTTAAATTTTTAAAACAAAATTGTTATAGTAAAAGACATAGTGCCATTAATCCGCCTCAAAATACTCCACTTTAAACACACTTATTCCATCATTTTTGCCACTGTCTGAAGCAATTCTGGAAGTCCTTTTTCCTGAATGTCTTTATGATGAATGATTAAAAAAAATGGTGAATGCTGCTGCTGTCATCCAACAGAAAGGTGGGCCCTTGAGAACATTAGTTTGTACTCATCGCCTTATTCACCAGCTCTGGCACTTAACTTCTGGCTCTTCCCCAATATCAAAATGACCATAAAAGGTAAATGTTTTGCATTGATCAGGACATTGAGGCAGTCATGACAGTCTAACTAAAGACCCTCAAGAAAGACTTCCAGAACTGCTGCTCACAGTGGCAAGAGCAATGGAATAAGTGTGTTTGAAAGGAGGAGGAATATTTTTTTGTCCAGTATGAGGGATCAAACTCAGGACCGTGTGCTTGTAGGGCAGGTGCAGTGCCACTGAGCTAATCCCCAGTCCTGGAGGAGGGATACTTTGAGGGGAATTCATGACAGTGTCTTTTACTATAATAAATTTTTCTTAATTTAAACACTTACCATATTTTTTGAATCCATTTTAACTATGTGTAATCTATTTTTATGTCTGGGAAGCCTAGAAGATGATATACACCCAGCAGATGGAAAGAAAAGCAGAGGAGGTTTTAGCCAAGGTGGTCTTTAAGGGCCGTGTTACATGGTTTGGTTTTGTTTTACTTCCTCCATGGTGCATTGCTGTATTTGGGAGGGCAAACATTAGATGTTGTTTTTTTGGTACTGGGGATTGTACTCAGGACCTTGCACTTGCAAGGCAGGTGTGTTAGATTTATTTAAAAAACCCACATACGCATGTATAAGTTCCACAAAGTAAGCTTTTACTACATTGAAATTTCTCAGAGGGTACTCATCCTTAGTGAAACCCTTTGTGTGGAAATGATGGAGGTTAGGACATTTTTTCTGTCTTCTGTCTTAATGGGAAAATACCTATCTGTCTATCTACCTACCTATATTTTACATTACTGCAGAACAAATATACCATGACTTCCCTGACTTCCTTCAGCAATAGAAGGTCCTAGACCTGTTTCATCTCTACTTACGTTTTATAGTTCATGTAGCTAACCTTAAATGTTTTTAGCCTGTCTCATTTTGAATGTAATTTTTCCTTCTGGCAAAGGAGATTGACCTTAGCTGTGTTACTTACATGCCTTTTTACTTTCAGAAGGACCTCAGGATGACCTGCCTAGTCAGATGCATTGTCCCCTGTTTTCATACTTGTCCACAGGAAAAAAATGTTCTCTTTAGCTTTTTTGCCTGGAAACTGCTTTGTCTGCTTATAAAGCCATTCTTAGCTTCCTGCCTTCTTACCATTTCCTCCTCCTTTTTAAAAAGAAACACGTACACCAATACCGCGGGAAGCTTGCATTGACTTCTCCAAACCTCACTTGGGTGCTGTTGTTGTCATAGTACTCTTGTATGTCTCTTTTTACTTAACTACTCTGTTCTGAGTTTTCTCCACCAGACTACGATGCCTTTGGGGAGATAACTGTATTTCTCTCTATATCTAGTACCTAATAGGGTTCCTACAGCATAAAAGTACAAAGTAATTATTGAACAATGAATGGATTTTTGCAAGCTTGTCTGGTTCTTATATTGGAATAGAGAAATAAGTCAGTATTAGTTGTTTTTGTACTATTTTTATAGTTCTGGGATCAAACCCAATGCCTTCTGCATGCTAGCCATGCACTCTACCACTGAGCTATGTCTCCAGCTCTAATATCAGTTACTGGTGTTACCAATTACCGTATCCCAGCATTTCATACCCACAAAGAAGTCCTGCTTCTTAATTTTGAAGGAGAAAAATACATATTTAGTGGATACTTTAACTGAACAGAATATAAATTTTTACTAATAACATTTTCATATTTGAATAGGCTGTTAACAAGTTGGCAGAAATCATGAATCGCAAAGATTTTAAAATTGATAGAAAGAAAGCTAATACACAAGATTTGAGAAAGAAGGAAAAGGAAAATCGAAAGCTACAATTGGAACTGAACCAAGAAAGAGAGAAATTCAACCAGATGGTAGTGAAACATCAAAAGGAACTGAATGAAATGCAAGCGGTAAGGTTTGTGTGTGTACAAACTGAGGCACCTAGGGTTATTGTCTTAAATTGTTATTATTGTATGTATTTATCTCATCTTGTTTAGAATGGCTTTTGTGGCATAAAATATTTTAATTTTAATTTATAGCCTCACACCTTGATCATTATCTTGCTACTAGGAACATTTATCTTGAACACCTAGAAAAATGCCCTATTGCCTGTTAATTATCATAACTTGATTAATACCCCCACTCCCACCGGGATCAAGCTCAGGACCTTGTGCTTACTAGACAGGCGCGGCGCCACTGAGCTACATCCTCAGCTGTTATCACAACTTGAGTAGTTTTTACCATTTAGCAGCTGTTTTTTTTAGGGGTACTGACGGTGGAACTCAGGACCTTGGGCTTGTGAGGCAGGCGGTGTAGCAGCTATTTTAAGACAATTGGAGGTTTTGTTTGTTGTTTTTTTTCCAGACTGAAAGTGGAATGTGACTTTTACAATACTTTGTGCAGTGCTAGGATTCAAACCAGGGCCTTGCCCTGTACTGGACAAGCACTCTCTCACTGAGCTACATCCCAGACCCTTCTGTTGTAATATGTTCTGTGGTTTGGGTAGAGATTTTCTCTAGTCAAGGCTTTTCTGAAACCCACATACCAACCTTAATCATTTATTTTCTTAGCATGTTAATAACATCAAATTGTGAACGTGGTCACTAGTATAAAATAGACCTAGATCCAATCTTTGACTCCATCATTTATGGTTCTACCTTCCTGAGACGTTTTCTTTACCTTTTAAACTAATTCATTTGGAGCCAGAAAAGCATTTCTTAATGTTTTACTTTCCTTAATGCCTTACGGTTTTTAAAAAACCTCTCCTAATGCAAGGAGAAAAAGAGCTTTTCTTAGCATCACATTACTGAGAAAGAACTTACATTTCTATGGTGCCTCACAATCTCTGGCCAGGCGAAGTGGCATGTGTCTATATTCCCAGCTAGTTGGGAGGCTGAGACAAGGGTCACTTGAGCCCAGGAGTTGGAGGCCAACCTGGGCAACATAACAAGATCCTGTCTCCCCACAGAAAAAAAAATACTGTTGTGGTAAACAGTCATTTTATAGTAAATGTTTTCATGATAGTCACTTAGAATAATTCTGCTTAAATGAATCCTTAATGTTGGAAATTATTTGAGCTTGATGACATATATTATCTTGATATTTTTCAAAATAGCAATTGGTGGAAGAATGTACACATAGGAATGAGCTTCAGATGCAGTTGGCTAGCAAAGAAAGTGATATTGAACAGTTACGTGCAAAACTTTTGGACCTTTCGGATTCTACTAGTGTTGCTAGTTTTCCTAGTGCTGATGAAACGGATGGAAACCTCCCAGGTAAGAATAATTCTGTTCTGTCATTAAAGTTTGCTTAAATGTCATGGCAATTATTTTCTCATTTGGTTTTCTACCTTTTTGTCATTGTGCCTATGGATCTTTGAGGAGGAATTGTTTCTGTTAGCCAAGACCTATGATGGTTGTATGCGAAGTATATTTTGTTGAATAAAAATTATCAGAGTGCATCAACATTTTGTAGAATAAAAGCAACCATAAGTTATCTTAGACCATTAACATGGACCTAAGAAGCTCTGGCTTAATAGAAACCTCAAATTTATCAACTTGTTTTGAGCAGCCTGCATTCATGATGATAGTCAAAGCTGTTGCTCCAGGATTTCACTATTTAAAGAAAATTGTACATGTTTTTGTGAGCAGCAGCTGTTTGATGTTTTATGTATTTTTAACACTAAAACTAAAAATTATCTTTCATAATCAGAGCCTATAGCAGATATATAGAAGCCCACCCAGCCTAGTAGTAATATGCTTTAAACTGACTGTCAAGTTTTAAATTGGAGGGAAATAGAAAAAAAGAGTTGGAATGGAATGTGCAATGAGGGAACAGAGAACCAAGTAAAGGTAGAAGTGAGTGGCTAAGATTTCAGACTATGTCTTTTTCTTCTTTTTTCTAGTGGAGAATCACTTCTTCATTCTTGGCTTAATTGTAGTAGAAGTGATGTGAATAGGTTTACACACATACACACACCACCATACCACACATTCTTATCTCAGGGTTTGGAAGTTTGGTTTACATTGTAATAAACTTGAAAATAGATTTTAATTAGCATATTTCCTGACTGGTACATGATATGATGCAGCATAAATTATTGCAGAGATTCTATCTTAACAGACTATATTGCTTTTTAAAATTTTTAACAGGAAACTTGATAGATTACTTAGAAAATTTTACAATATTTCTTAATCAAGAAAATGGGACTCAAAATGGGAAGTAAATTCAACTCCTTCTTGAATACGTTTGTGATTGCATCCTATATTTTTCAGTAGCTTTGCTACCTGGGAAGGGCAAAACAGGGAAGGAATATTTCCTGTTCTAGTAGTGTAGGAATTCTATGGTTTTCAACTTTTGGCTCTCTGAAACCATCTGCCTCTTGAGACACTTGCAGGTACACGTCATTAGAGGAGGATCAGTATGGGTTTAACAAAACCTCTAGCTTCTGCTGTTCAGACAGCTTTCTAAAGGTAGACTTAATCAGTCATTAATAATATGACTTTTAGAGGCTCTTAGTTTCATTATTTCAATTTTCTAACTGAAATTGTAATTTTCTCTTTGTTAACTCCAAGATGCTTCTGGAGTAAAGGAAATCTTCACTCTATTTAGTGTCAAAATCTTAACCAGGGCCTTTTCTTTATCCCACTCATTTCTCTTTGATATTATAATGTCTTTTTTTTTTTTTTGGAGACAGGATCTCCCTATGTAGTTCAGGGTGGCCTTGAACTCTTGGCAGTCCTCCTGCCTCAGCCTCCTGAATGCTGGGTTTACGGGTGTGCACCACCATGTCCGGCTTATTAACATTATAATGACTTAATGTGTACATGGGTTTTAAAAAATACTAGGTTAGAAATTTCAAATATTTATACGTTATTGGTGAATGTGAATAGAAGATTTGAAAGATGAATGGTAGGACCCCCAAAAGAAAAGAAGGTGATGAGTTTTATCCTGCATCTTGGCTTATTCAGGAAGGTGAAACTCAAATGATCCCCAGATACTTTGATTGGCAGACTTAGATTTCAGAATCCTGACCTAATAAATTAATTTGAGTCAGTTAGCAAAGAAATTTTAAATGTTTCTACTAGCTCCACTCTGAATTTATTACCCAGAATATTAGCTTCTTTGCAAAGATTTTGTTTTCAAAGTTTTCAGACTTCAAACCAAAGTGCCGGTAGCCTTCTCCATTGCTATAAAATGAGACCAGCTGTCTCTTTCCCCATTGGTATACTCTCAGTGTTGAAACTATTAAGATCTCAACAGTGCTGAACCCTGACTTTTCATATTGGAAGTAAAACTTAGTAAATGATCTTTGTCAATACTGTGTTTGTTTCCTCTCTCCATCAGATATATTGCTAATAAATTAAATCCACCATTTACTAGATACTTCAAAATGGTTCTTGGCAAATAAAGCTAAGGCTTTCTATTCATGTCTAGGAGAAACAATTGAAGTAGTTTTGTTTTCATTCTTAATGTGAGTTATATGTCATTCAGATATCTGAAAGATATTTTGAAGATTGATTAATTTTTATTTGGTTTATAACATTAGTGAATGAATTTTCAGATTAAAAGAGGAAGACTAAGTAGTTTTATTCTACAGTTAAAATACTTTTTATTTTTAATTTTTTAATTTTTTTTGGTTCTGGGGATTGAACTCGGGTGCTTGCACTTGTGCAGCAGGCGGCGAAACCACTGAGCTAAATCCCCGGCCCAATACTGACTTTTTAAAATAATGCATCATACTTTTATTTTACTTCAGTGATTTCACTTTTTAAGTAGTTGGGTAAATGAACTGATACTGTTTCTCTTAGATTTCATCAGTCACTATAAAGATTCTAATTATCTTGTACCTCTTGAGTTTAACCTTGGTAATCAGTCTCCCTCTCCCACCCTGCCCCACCTCTCTCTCTCTCTTTCCAGAAACCTCTATAGTCTTTCTTAGTGGACTCCTTGTCTCCCAGTGTTTTTAATTCTAAAAATCTTGGGGTTGAGGATATTAATTCCTTCTCTGATTTAAAATTGTGAGATTCTTAAACACACTTTCAGCCATGCGTGGTAGTGCACTCCTGTAATCCCAGCACTCAGGAGGCGGAAGCAGGAGGGTCGCTGTGAGTTTGAGGACAGGCTGGGCTACATCTCGAGTTCAAGGCCAGCCTGAACTACATAGTAGCTAGACCCTGTCTCAAACAAAAAAACCCCAGTGCTTTCATTCTCTTAATTCATCTATGTCTTCATTCTCCTTTGGGTAGGTTCTGTATCATCTTATGTTTACGCCTGTATAATCTTATGTTTACACACTGTGCTATGTCACAGAGATTACCCTTAGCTGGGAACCTTAGGCAGGAGGATAGCAAGTTCAAGTCCCACCTGGTCGGCTTAGTGTGACCTGTCTCAAAAATTTTTTTTAAAGGGCTGGGGAGGTAGCTCAGTTCAAAGAGTTTGGGTTCGATCCCCGGTACCAAAAAAAAAAAAAAAAAGGTTACCCTTGAGATAGGGTTTGCATTTTGCCTAGGTGACAAAAATACTTTAATGTGGTGATGGTCTTTTCTTCCTTGTTCTTTTTTCTATTATTATCTTGGAATGTTTACTTAGTTATCTAAAGAGAATATAATAGATGAAGCATTAGGAAAATATGTTACCAGTATTTCAATACTTGATATCAGTACCCTATTTGTATTATCTCTTATGAATTATCTGCATCATTCTTTTTTTCCATCCATCTTAATCTTGGGCTATGTAACTTAAATCTGAGAATGCTGGATTGCTTAGTGTGCTTCCAAATATTTATATAAGGATTTCTGAATTTATTCTGTTAATGATTTGGAGATAACCTGAATTCTTCAGTGTTGATTTCATTTTCTTTTTTATGTCACTTTTGAATATAATTAAAACATTTTATAGTGATCCTCTACCTCTTTCTTAAGCAGTATGTGGTATACCCAAGTTAACTTTGGTAGTCTTTAAAGATTAACTTTAATGTATAAAGTGGCTACATTGGGTATTATTTACATATAATTAGGCACTATGGCTATTAGTTGGATAAAAGAATCAGTTGGCAATGTTGAAATAATACCTAATTTTTTGTAATTTAAAATGTCTATACAAATATATAAAATCTGGAGCCAAGGTATTTACATACTTCTGTAGCAAATTGATGATAATGTAGACTTTGAAGTTCTCAGTGCTTATTTCACAAATTATCTGAAGAAGCTAATTTCTTTTTTAAAAAAAGCTGATTTTTGCATTTTTCATGTGAAAGATGAAATTTACAGCATTTTACTTCAGATTGCCACTTAGGTTGCAACTAGTCCTGGTTTTGGAGGATATTTTCATATATAAAAACTAATAGGTATAGGGCCGGGGATTTAGCTCAGTGGTTTCACCACCTGCCTCACAAGCGCAAGGTCCCAAGTTCTATCCCTGGTACCAAAAAAAAAAAAAGAAAGAAAGAAAAAACTAGTAGAATAGGCGTAGGGAAAGGAAACAGAAGCTAGTTTGTATTTTTTATCTTTTATCACTGAGCGTAGTTTAGTTCCTAACCCAAACCTAGAGCTAGGAAGCATGAATATTTTTGGCATTTATTTTCATAGAGAAATGACTGGAAGAGTTGGGATATTTTGGAATACATAATTTTGTTTAAATGCTGAAATTTCAAGGGCTTTTATTTTCAGTGAGGAATTACTAGTATTAACCTTAATTTTATCCTCAAATATTAGGACTACTTTTTATTTGAAGTTGTGCTTATCTTAATGTTTATCAAATTACACTTTTAAGACAAGAGCTGTAATTTTTGCCACATTAATAGCAAAATTCCTAATGGCTTCTTTTTTTGTAAGGTGAAATATCTATGAATGATCAACATATGATCAGCAGCCCCCTGCAAGTTGTTTAATATAAAGCTGCTTGTTTGGTTTTTAAATTGTAACTATTATTTACAGGTAATGACTTTAATTGACTAATTCAGAAAAAATACAGAATAGCAAATAACTGACAAATATTTATCCAGCACTTCTGCTGTCAGACACCATGGGGTATATAAAACAGGTAGTAGGATATAGGATATGGTTCCTGCTGTCACAAAACTTAGCAAGGAACTATCTAAAGAAGTGAAATTATTATCGAATTAAATAACAGCAAGCAAGAAAAAGTTAGAACTTATTTTAAACTTGTTATCTCTTCCTCTTGTTTAACCAACTATGATTTGTATGAAGGGGAAATAGCATGTACAGAAGTTGGAGACATTGAGTACATGGAACAAGTAGGAACACAGAAACATTAGCTACAATTCAGTGAATTGCAAAGTTTGTTTGGGGGACAGACTAACATTGTGCTCTAAAATTAAGTTCAGAAAATTAGCCTGGGTTTGAAACCTAGAGCTTTTTCAGATAATGGTAGAGCTTGGACAAGGTGGTTCACCTTGCTAAGCCTTAGTCTCTTCATTTGTAAGTGGAGGATGATAGTAAAACCTACCCTGTAATCCTAAGACTATAATATCCTAGGTTCATGGGACATGAATCATACAAAGGTTAAAGATGAGATACAAATTGTTAAGCACATGGGAATTAATAAATGTTCTGTAATGTCATCTGTTGTTAACCATTACTAGACTGAGCTTTACAATTTTAAGTTATGTGGAGAGGGCAGTATATATTTCCAGAAGATCATGATTTGAGCTGTAGTATAATTGGTCACATAATAGTATCATGCTTTAAAATGGTTACCTCTCTATTCTTTTATCTTTTGAATATAAGCTTAGATACTTAAAATACTTAATTTAGCTTTCTAATCTGCAGCCTGATATAGTCATTTCCGATGGGATCATCTTCATCTCCCAGATATGTCTGATAAACATTATACTTAATGTAGTAATGATTATTATAAAAGAAAGGCCTTGATCAAAATAGTGAAGAAATTTATGGTATACACAAACAGTTTAACTATTAGCAATTAATGAACTGAAGTTTGTGCCCTTTTTCTATTCATTGAATTATAATATTGTAAACTTAAAAGCCTTTATCTGTTTTTAATTTGAGAGGAATTATAATTGGAACTTATCTGTAGAATCAAGTTCCCCTCCAACCAAATTTGGACAGTTTTATTGAAATTGTTATGTTTTACCAAAAATTTTTTTCTATCAGAATACTGTACGAAGAAAACAAATAAAATGCTTGTCTCTTATTCTTTATATCTAGTCGATTCTGCCTGCATTCCTTATTTATTTATCTTCTATTCTTGTCTTCTGTGAGTAATAGGATACTTCTGTACTTTTGCTTGCTCTTTCTTGTGTAAATCATGGCTCTGATATGTTCCACTTGCTGCATATTCTTTTTTTTTCTTTTTCTTTTTGCTAAGTATTTTTATATGAATGTTACATGATATTTAAAGTTTTCTATATCATATACCATTTAAGCTGCAATCCATTCCAGTCTTGCCTGGCTCTTAAAGACATTGTTACTTCATACTTTTGTAATTGAGTACTAAATGTTACTTCATGGGAAAAGTGGCTTGGGATTTTTTTCTGCAATATTTGTATGGCCATTAAAATTGATTTGTGTGATTGAAGCATGGAAGAGCAAATGGTAGCATTTATTCATTTAGCTGTTTTTAATTGCCTGTTGCTGCATGCTTTCAAATGACTTGTAATAGTTTTTCCTTTGGTTACAATTTAAGACTGATTGCTATGTTTTTTCTCCTAGAGTCAAGAATTGAAGGTTGGCTTTCAGTACCAAATAGGGGAAATATCAAAAGATACGGCTGGAAGAAACAGGTACTATGTGCCTAATGTTTTTCTGGTATTTTGTTATATATTTTGCTTTGAAGGATAGAACTTGTATTAACTGCTCTATTACTGACATTGATTTTAGATTAATACAATGTAATCTAGACAAAAATGGCAAATATGCTTATTACTGTGAACCAAGTTAGTGTTCCTTTTGTAACTCTTCTCTTTTTTTTCCTTTCAGTATGTGGTAGTAAGCAGCAAAAAAATTTTGTTCTATAATGATGAACAAGATAAGGAACAATCCAATCCATCTATGGTACTGGACATAGAGTAAGTTACCTCTTACTGCATTTTAAATCAGTTGAGTGTTAATGATTAGAGCTATTTTACGTTTTGTGTTACTCAGTGTTACCTAATTTTCTTAACAAACTTAAAACTCTTTAGCAAAATGTAGGATGGAAAATTTTGCATACCTGTTTCATGGACTTGAAAAATTGAATTTTTTTTTTTATACTGGGGATCAAATTTGGGACCTTTTGCTTGCGAGGCAGGCAGCGATACCACTGAGCTAAATCCCTGGGCCAAAATTTTGTATTTTAAATGTTTAGTGGTTTGGGATTCAGAGAGCATCTCAAAAAGTATAGAATCTTTGGTCATTATTGAGAAGAAATATAAACATATCTGTTCTTTTTGTAATTGGGGATCAAACTGAGGACCTTGGACTTGCAAGGAAGGCGCAGATACCACTGAGCTAAATCCCTGGCCCAACATATCTGTTCTTTTTTAGTAATATATCAAAGAAGCCTAATAAGGAGAGTTTTTTCCCTTGTAATCTTTGTAAAAAGCTGCTGATAATTATCATTGGTGCTGTAGTATGTATAAAGTAAGTAAGATATTTAAGGAGCTTGGAGACAATAGAAAAAGTGAAATTGCAACAAAATACAAAGTGAAGTGAGAAGTGCTTTTCAATAGAAGCATGAACTTCAATGAAGTATTACCATTCTTTTGCAATTAATATTTTTAGAGCTCATTATGGTTAGAATGTTAAAAAAATTGAGTGGGTCCTAGAAAATTCTGATATTTTATGGCCTTTTTTCCCCTTAAGCATTAGTTGTAAGCGATCAGTTTAAGTAGAATAACACATAACTTTAATATGAAAGACATCTTTCACCTAAGTTAAATACAGTAGTTTTTAGATGAATGAAGGAGGATTTGTTCCTTTTTCTATTAAGGTGTGATTTTTGTATAAAATTCATAGCTCTCAGGTGTTGAATTCAGTGAAATTTGGCAATCATAAACACTTGTGTAATCACCGCTCAATTCAAGATACAGAAATTTCCATTACCTGATCTGATTTTTTTCAGTGAGACAAGTTTTGCTGATTTTAGAACTTCATACAACCCTAATTATATAATATAGATACTTCTGTGCCTTGCTTCTTTCACTCAACCTCTTGTTCTTTGAGATTCACCTTTAGCATTTTATGTATCTGTTGTGCGGGGAGAGGTTGGTGGTTGATTTTTCTTTTTTGTTTTGCTTTTAAAGGAGGGTGGTTGGTTGGTTGGTTATTTTGTTATTGTCGATTTGTTTGCCCAGGCTGGGTTCAAACTTGTGATAGTCCTGCCTCAGCCTCCCAGAGTGCTGGGGTAACAGGCAAGCCCACCACACCCAGCTTGTTCTTTTCTTTTGCTAAGTAGGATTCCCCCTGGATATTTTACAGTTTGTCCATTCTTCTGTTGATGGACACTTTTGTTGCTTCAAGATTAGGGTCATTATAAATAAAACTGCTGTATACATTCTTTTTATTGATTTAAATTTTCATTTCTCATGGGTAAAATACCTAGGAGGAGAATCTTGGGTTTAAGAGTAGATCTGCAAGCGCAAGGTCCAGAGTTCGATCCCCAGTACCCAAAAAAAAAAAAAGTAGATCTGTATTTAACTTTTTAAAATTCTATCAAGTAGTTCTCCGAAATGATTATCTATTTTATAGCCACCAGCAGTATATACATTTAAATTGCTTCATGTCCATTTGTTAAGCTGTTCTAGTGGATATGAAGTACTTGTTTTAATTTGCATTTTCCTCATGACTAATGAGGTCAGGAACCCTCCTCCCCCTTCTCCTTTCTCCTTTCTTCTTTCTTCTGGGAGGGTCTGGCTATGTTGCCCAGGCTGGCCCAGATTACTGGGTTCCAGCATTCTTCCTGGCTCATCCACCATAGTGGCTGAGACTACAAAGCATGTACCACCAAGCCCAGATTATTGACACTTTTATTCTTTCTTAAAGTGTGTACAAGTCATTTGCCCTTTTCAAAAGTGAGTATTTTAATCTTTTTGAGATTGTAAGAGTTCTATATATATTTTAGGTAAGAATTCTATGTTAGATATATATAATGCAAATATTTTCTAATCTGTAGGTTATTTATTTTAGTGGTACTTTTTAATGAAGGTCAGTGTATAAAAGTTTCAAATGATTAGTCCCTTTTGTACTATGTTCAAGAAATTTCTACCTGCCCAGCAGTTGTAAAGGTATAGCCTTAACTGTTCCACATTTTATAAAGTTTTTGTGGTTAATTCCAAATTAATTTTTGTTTTTGGATAGTGGTTGAGGTTAGGAAATTTTTTCCATGTAATTTGTTCCAACATTCTTTTCCTTTTAAGTCTGAACTAGACATTTTAATATTGACTTTGAATTCTCTAATCTTGATACATATATATTGGTTTTATAAGTGTTTCTGTTTTCTCTTTTTCTTTTTCTTTTTTCTTGGGAGGGGGTCGATTCCATGGGGCTTTCCCACATAGACAATCATATCCTTCCCAAACAATGATAATTTTACTTTCTTTCCAATCTATATGCCTTTCTATCAGATATTCACATAGACTACCACCATACCTAGAATAATTCATCACAGTGATTCCTATTCTATCCTTTTATAGCCTCAACAGCTTCCTTCTTTCACCTTTGTCTAATTCCTGGCAAATTAATCTATCCTCCATCTAATTTTTCATGATCAGTTTTTGTCACTCTGCATCCTTTCCTTGAGATAATCCAAGTTGTAATTGATTTGTTTTTATAATTGTTAAGTTGTACAGTTGACTCTCCACTGTATGTGTGGGTTTCATATCCAAGGATTCAACCAACTATAGATCAAAAATATTAAGAAAAAATTTGTGTATATAGGAAACAAGTAGAAACTTGTTTGTCATTATTCCCTGAACAATACTGTATAACAACTATGTACGTAGCATTTACATTGTATTAGGTATTATAGATAGCCTAGAAATAGTTTAAGCTACAGTATATGGGAGGATATACGTAAGTTATTTGCAGGTACTACACAATTTTCTGGAGGGATTTCAGCATCTGGGGATTTGGGTATCTACTGTGGGTCCCAGAACCAGTCCCCCAAGGATATCAAGGGACAACTGTTATACTTTATCATGGATGGTAGCCACAGTTTGTTTAACTATTTATTTGGGTTGTTTCCAGTTTTAGTCTACTTTATTATGAATAAATATGTATATATCAATCTTCATGTCTCAGAATAAAGCCAAAAAGTATAATTGGTGGGTCATATGGTAAGTGTATGTTTAGTTTTGTGAGAAATTTACCATAATGTCTTCCACAGTGTATTTGCTGTTCTACATTTCCACCAGTATTGTATGAGTGATCCAGCCTCTCTGCATCCTCGCCAGCATTTGATGTTATTACTGTCTTTGTTTTTAAAATTCTGACAGATGTATAGTGATACTCATTGTGGAGTTCTTTTTGTTGTTTTGTTTTGAGATAGGATCTTGTATAGTTCAGGTTGGCCTTGAACTCACTATGTAGCCCATGCTGGCCTCACACTCGCAGCAATCCTCCTGCCTCAGCCTCCTGAGTGTTGGGATTTCAGGCATGAGCCACCACACTCAGCTATCATTGTGGTTTTTACACTTCCCTAATGATTTAAGATATCGAACATCTTTTTATTTGGTTATTTATAGCTTACATGTCTTCTTCAATGATGAGTCTGTCTTTTTAAAGTTTTTAGAGTGGCTTACATGATATTTATTATCATTTTAGTAAACTGTTTCACGTTCGACCTGTAACCCAAGGAGATGTATACAGAGCTGAAACTGAAGAAATTCCTAAAATATTCCAGGTAAAAATTGAAATTATAATTCCAAAGGCCTTTTTACCTAAATTCCAAGTGCTTTTGTGAGTCAAATGTGAAAATCTGCCAGTTTTTTAATACATTATGAACTTTATTCACAGATTAAAATCTTTTTATCTTTTCACCATTCCTGAATGTAGATACTATATGCAAATGAAGGTGAATGTAGAAAAGACGTAGAGATGGAACCAGTACAACAAGCTGAGAAAACTAATTTCCAAAATCACAAAGGCCACGAGTTCATCCCTACACTCTACCACTTTCCTGCCAACTGTGAGGCCTGTGCCAAACCTCTGTGGCATGTTTTTAAGCCACCCCCTGCCTTAGAGTGTCGAAGATGCCATGTTAAGTGCCACAGAGATCACTTAGACAAGAAAGAGGACTTAATTTCTCCATGTAAAGGTAAGACATGGTAATTATTTTTACAACCTATTACTAATGTAGTTTTAAGTCCTAATGAAATCACTTCTGCATTTGTAGCAATTCCTATACCAAGTTGAAGAGGTGGGTTATAAGAAGTGATAAGTTGACTCAGATGGAACAACACACAGGTTCTTCACAGCTATAGGGTTAGCTCTTAAAGAAGAGGAAGCCCCACCACCACCTTGGGGTGCTGGGGATAAAACTGTGGATGCTCTGCCACTGAGCTACGCCCCCACCCTTTTATTATTTTTTTTCTTTTGAGATGGGGCTCAGGGAGACTTCAACTTGCAATCCACCTATCACCCTCCCAAAGTGCTGAAATTAGTGTGCATCACTGCACCAAACAAATTAGCCCCTTTTAACAAACCCTTCCACTAAGAAATTATTCTAAGTTAGAGCAAAGACTATAGATGAGTTCTAATATATTCGTCCTTTGAATTTTTCCCTCTTGCTTATTTTCTTTTTCTTTTTCTACTGGGACCAGCATGCTATATCAGAGACAAAATGTCTTATAGTTAGAGGTAACTTGAAGGAAAATAATACAGACTGTGGCTATTTTAAGATAAGAAACTTGTGTTCTGTAGATAACTTTGTTTCACTTCTTCATTTTTATTTTATATTTCTGATTTACTTTATTGGGTTCACAGATAATTAAGCATAGTAAATCTTAAAGGTTAAGAACTTGAAGAAATAAGCATTTGATAAGTTTCATTTTTTAAAATATTACGTGGCTTTAATTGTGCTTTTTTTAAATGTAGTAAGTTATGATGTAACATCAGCAAGGGATATGCTGCTGTTGGCATGTTCTCAGGATGAGCAAAAAAAATGGGTAACTCATTTGGTAAAGAAGATCCCTAAGAATCCACCATCTAGTTTTGTTCGTGCTTCACCTCGAACTCTTTCTACAAGATCTACTGCAAATCAGTCTTTCCGGAAAGTGGTTAAAAATACATCTGGAAAAACTAGGTAAGGATTGAAGTGAACCTTTTTAACAATGTAAAACTGATTAGATAACATTTACTCAAATCAGTAATCTAATTGTTTTCCCCATATTGAATATCATTTATAGCTGGTCTTCATAGATGACTTGTTATTTTATATATTATTAGATATTAATTATTAATAAATTAACATTTAGTTCCATGTCAAAGTTTATCATCATAGGTCGTTACACATGGTATATATTTAGCTCTTAATATTTTAACTAACTAGTAGTTTTCATCTTTTTAAATAGATTGGTATAAAGCTTTCCTAATCTTTTCTTTAATTACATTAGCACAGGTTTTTTCTTGTTTTTTGGTACTGGGGATCGAACTCGGGACCTTGTGCTTGCGAGGCAAGTGGCGGAACCACTGAGCTAAATCCCCGGCCCAGCACAGGTTTTTCTAAATTGAAAATTATTTTATATTTTTATTATTATTATTATTTGGTAGCAGGGATCGAACTTGGGACCTTGCGCTTGGGAGGCAGGCGGCAGAACCACTGAGCTAAATCCCTGGCCCTATTTTATATTATTGATGTAAATATAAACTTCCCAAGTATGTTCCCCTTTTTTTTATTTTTGATGGATTTTTCTTCAGAAATATACTTTGTGCTAAGATAAACAGTTTTAGGACTTCAACTATCTCATTAAGTCTTCATTTTACATATGAATAAAGCTGAAAGAAATTAAGCAGCTTTCATAAGATCACCTAGGCTAAGAATTAGGACTTTTCTAAAGCCTGTTCCAAGTACCAACTATCCCTGGATTGTAACTCCTGGATTAGAATCTAGGTTCTAAATTAGAATCAGGAAGCTGAGACCTAACACTGTTAATGTCACCCATGTATTTGAAGCAGGCTTAAAGCCTTAGTCTGTAATTCACCTCTTTTCTTCACTTTCTGCTGTTGGTAACTGTGTCTGATTCTTTGAAATGACTGATAGCCTTTCCTTCTTGCATATTCCTCCCCCACCATACTCCTCCAGTCCACCTTATCACTGTTGACTTAATTCTCTAGAATGCTGTATCAGCCACCTGGGTATAGGGAATATGCTGGATCTAAAATGATTTAAAATAGGATTATAACTGAGGAAGAAAATGTATTTGGAGAGTAGAAACAAAAAGGAGATAATATTAAGTATAATTTCCTTTTTTTCTAACTTTTATGTAATTGTTAATTATATGAAAGTAATTCATGTTTACTTTCCTGTGTGTGTATGTTTGTGTCTGTGTTTTCTGGGAATCACACTACTCAAAGCCTTGCTCATGCTAGGCAAGTGCTCTGCCCCTAAGTTATACCCTTAACCCGCCCTCCAACTAGTTTTCTTATATTGTTAAACTGAGCTCATCTTTTTAAATTACATTGTTCTCTTTCTTTCCACCAACAGTTAACCAGGTGACCTACTGCCTTGTGGAATCATGTGGGATGCTACCTGAGAAACCAGGCTTCTCTTACCATGCAGAGCAGACAGGCTGTTTGTTCAACACGAATATCACAGGCTTCAGGGTTAAGATCGCTGTTATTCTGTCCTTGCTTTGGCACAAAAGCACACTGAGGGTTTTTGTTTTTTTTTAATTGCGGGTTTGCCTACAGGTAGATTAGATTAATTATTACTGTGTAATGCAAGTATAATTGGGGGAAAGCTTAGCTAGATATATTTTTCTAAAAAGGTGCTGCCTTTTTGAATTTCTGAGAAAATGCCTGTCAGTCATGATAGAATGCAGTTTTCCTCGAATGAGTGAGAGGAAGGAACTTTCACATTCAAGTGGAATGGCCATCACTGTCAAGATCAGCTCATGGAAGGAGTAAAGAAAATATCTCAAAATGAGACAGACTGAATTTTTTTAAGTGACTTTTTTGTGCTCTTGCAAGATTATACAAAACTATTTTAAGAAAACAGTGAAATCACTTGAACTTCAGTGCTCTCACTGTAGAATTTAAAAAGCCTTACTATTGATTGCCCATGGTGGACTTGATGGAGAAATTAAATATATTATGCTTTACAAAATACTGTATATGTCTCAGCAGATTTGCAGATTGGGAAATGGGAGAGGACAAGAAAAATTACATTTAATCTATGCATTTTTGCCAAGCCATATTGAGTTATTTTACTACTAGAGATGTTAGGAACTAACTGTACAAAAGAACCAAGTTTAAAAGCATTTTGTGGGGTACATCATTTCTGTAATTGTATAATGTATTTCTTTGTGGTTTTAAGTGATAAAGACATTAAGTTAACAAACATATAAGAAATGTATGCACTGTTTGAAATGTAAATTATTCTTAGAACACTTTCAGTGGGAGTTGCATTGCCCTTTTAGTGCCTTAATTTGAGAGAATTATTTTACTGCCACGAGTAAGTATAGAAATTGAAAAAAAAAAGTGGTTGGGGGGGGTTTCAAAAAATTACGTGTGTCAGTGGGTGTTTTCATTGATAATTGGTTTAATTTAAAATATTTAGAGGTTTGTTGGACTTTCATAAATTGAGTACCATCTTTTCATCAAACTACCTGTTACAATAAAGAATGACTTTATAAAACTATCTGCAAAAATTATACAAGGTTGCACCAATATAAAAAGAAAAGTATGTCAATACATCCATTATGTTTTCCAGTTAACATAGGAATTACCAGATAAATACTGTTAAACTTTTGTTCAGTAACAGGAGTTTATTTATATGGGCAGTATGATTTATTGTTTATTTTTTTAACCAAATACCTCCTCAGTAATTTATAATGGCTTTGCAGTAATGTGTATCAAATAAGCACTGGAAAACTGATTGTCTCTAGGATGATATGCATGTTTCAAGTGGTATTGAAAGCCGCACTGATGGATATGTAATAATAAACATATCTGTTATTAATATGCTAATGACTCTGCTCATTTAATGAGAAATAAAAGTAATTTATGGATGGATACTTTTAACAATGGCTTCTATGGTGTTTTCTGATGGCTGAAATGAATAGAAAGCATACTGCAAATTAGTCCTGATTGTATGTTTGTTAAATTCCATGACTAGGTTAAAGTGTAGTTTTAAAAGATGAGACTTGGTTTGGATTTGAAACAAGAGTGGCTGTAGTTCAAATGAAGAGTTAGACTTAATATGCATTCAGATAGCTATTTAATTTTCACAATCCTGAGGTGATACAGAGATAAATACTATCATTTTTATTTTGTAGTTGAGGAAACTAAACCACCAGGAATTTTGTAACTTGTTTTAGGAAGACATGTATTTGAAGATTACTTGACTACTTACAAAAGAAACCATTTGCGAGGCAGAGACTGGGTTTTCCACCAGAATCCACTGTCTCCTTCCATAGTAATAGGCTTAAGGCTCGTATGCTGTGTCCTGGTAGAGATTCCCTCTCCCAGGCTTCCTGGCAACTAGACATGGCCATACAAGCATTTTCACCAGTGAAATGTGACTGGAAGCTTAAAACGAAACTGCTGTCCTTTACTCTCTTTCCTTCTTTTTCCCCTTATATTTTTTTCTTCTTGTGTGTTGAAACCTGGATGCACCTGCAACCTGTCTTCAACTGTGGAGAAAAAGACAAGCCCCTTCACGCCCTGCTACTCAAAAGGGTGATTTTCCAGCTTTGTTTGAGAGCTTGTCAGTATCTTAGATTCCATCCAAGATGTATGGAGTCAGAACCTGCATTTTAACAAATCCCAGGTGATTCATGTTACATTCAACGTTGAGAAGCACTTCAGAAGCAAAGCAGAGGAGCTTTACTGATGGAATGCTGGTCCTTGAACAGTCTGGTCCTTGCTCTCCTCTGACTCCTTCATAAAATTGTATGTTCCTTAAGCAGCAGTTCAGTCTGGCTTTGTTACAGTAGCATACATTCACTTCACATCTTGCATCATCTGCTGATCTTGGGCCTTCACAATGAGCTATGGTCCCCCTTCCTACTTTAAAACAGGGTCTCACAATTTAGCATTGCCCATGCTGAGCTTAAATTTGTGATTCTCCTGCCTCGGCCTCCCCAAGTACTGGGTATATAGGCCTGTGTCACCATGCCGAGTACTGAATACCTTTTTAGTGCAAGGCACTGTTCTGTTTATATATCTAAAACACAGGAGATCTTAAATTATTTAAGGCTGGACTTATTTCCTCCAAGAATTTATATTTTAATATAAAGAAAACGGGATATTAAAATGATCAATACTGTAAGTGTGATGGTTAGTGCTATTTTTTTTTTAAATTTGTGGCAGTCTCTAGTAATACTTCTATAAATATATACACATCCCAATCTCTTGAACCTGTGAATATGTTGCCTTCCAAAAGGGACTTGCTGGTGTGGTTAAGAATTTTAAGATGAGAAGATTATCCTGGGTTATCCAGGTCTGGCCAGTGTGATCGCTGAGGACTTAAGGAGGCAGTACTTGGCCTGAAAGAGCTGCTGAAGTTGGAGCGATGTGGTTGTGGGGATGCAGCTTGGAGCCTGGGACCTTTGACAGCTGGAAAAGGTGAGGAATGGATTCTCCTCTACACTTGAAGGCCAAGGCTATTCTCCAGACCACCAGAACTGTAGAATAATAAATCTGTGTTGTTTAGCCACTATATTTGTGCTAATGGGTTACCACAGCCACGGGAAATTAAGTTTTTTTTGTTCCTTTTGTTTCTTGAAATAGGGTCCCACTGTGTAATCCAAGTTGACCTGAAATTTGCTATGTAGCCTAAGCTGGCCTCAAACTCAGCCTCTGGAGTATTGTTACAGGTTAGGCCCCTGGATCTGGCTAAGAACACATTTTTTTTTCCAGTTTTGGGCAGTCCACACCCCATCCCTCAGTGTGTCTGTGTAGAGGAAGACAAACATTCCATTCCTTATCAGTGGCTTACAGAGTAAAGGCAGACTGGCCAATTATATATTCAGAGGAGACACTCATAAGTGGGTGAGGGAGACACAGGCTTAGGAATTGCTCCTAGAGATGGGAGTAGAAATGACCTTGCCTTTGTTCCCTTCTCCCCATCTCTCTTGGTTCCTATCCATTTTCTGTGCTTGGTTTCCTGGTTTTGCTATTGACTCTGTTAGCTGTCCTGTATTGTACCAATCAGTTCATTGGCTTCTGTTGCTTCTATTCAAGAGCTCCAATTCATTTGATGTGTGCATGTCCTAATATTCCTGTCTAACCTTTCTGTCTAACCTTTGCTTCATTTTCCATCCAGCTTCTGTAGTGACCATCTTGGACTCACTATATACTTGCTAAATAAAATAGCTAACAATGTAATCCTACTTGATCAGAAGGAGTAATTGTAACAGCAGGCTTTAAGTTTATCTGAATGCATTAGCAATAAATGGAAACTTTGAAATTGGACAAGATTTGTTGGCCAGATGAAGAGGATATTCTAAACAATAAATCACCCCCAATAAAAACCTTTGACATTTTGCTATGTTTTAGAAGATTGACTTATAAACTTGCAAGTTAGGATCTTACAATGACATAATTTAAAGTAAAGATTATCCATTAAACACCTATAGGCCAGGGCTCAGCCAGGTATGGCACATGAACAAGCTTGCCATCTTCTACAATACCCTCTGACAAGGATGAAGGGCAGCTTCGCATATTGCCTTTTATGCTTCCTTTGGGTCGCTAGTGGGTTCCCCATCCTCACTGCTTCCATACATTTTGCGGAGCCCCAGAGAAGCTGGGCGAAGTCAGTTGTACCAAGGGCTTGGGAGATGCTGAAAAGGAACTTGACCTAGAAGACTCCTGTCAGGAACAGGTCGAGTGAGCTGAAAGGATGCTGCTTTCACATTCAATTCTCACAGCATCAAACCATGCCTGGTTTTCCGACACCTGCCTTGCAAGCGCAAGGTCCCGAGTTCAATGCCCAGTACCAAAAAAAACCAAACAAAAAACCATGCCTGGTACCTAATGAACCCTAACTCTGATTAACCTAACAGGCAGCTATGGTCCTGTTTGTAGGGGAACACACACATTAAAGAAACAGAAGTGATGAGAGTTACTAGCAAGAACACACGAGTAGGCAGGGAAACAGCTCTGAATTGAGATAATCAGTGGATGATTTGCATCAGGACACTTCTATCTTCAGTCCTCCGTCAGCTCTAAGGACAGCAACGCTTTTCACAGATGACCAACGCAATATATTTTTAAAAGATGTATTTTATAGAAATATGCACTCAAACATTTGGAAAACAGATAATAAAGCTACCTACAGCCTATATGCAATCACACCCTACAAAATCCCTTTCAAGTCTTTACTCTGTATCATTTAATAGTTATCATTTATTGCAATTTTTTTTTCCGTACCGGGGATCGAACTCAGGTCCTTGTGCTTGTGCAGCAGGGTGTGAAACCACTGAGCTAAATCCCTGGCCCTATCATTTATTGCATACTATGTGCAATGCACTGTGCTAAGCATCTTAACATAACCTTCTATAACTCTGGTAACAATCCTATCACATAGCTTTTCTCCATTTTATAGAGAGAGAAACTGACGCGCGGAGATCACCCAGCTAGTAACAAAAATTCAAACCAGCTGATTCTACAATCATTAATATTACACGTATAATCCTAATGTTCAACACATTATAGTTCCCTCAACAAACAGGTGATAAGCCTGTCGGGGTGGCAACTGTCATCACAGCACTTGAGAGGCTGAGGCAGGAGGATCGAAATTTTGAGGCCTGCATGAAAACTTAGTGAGAGCCTGTCTCGAAAAAATAAAATGAAAATGGAGAAATAATTTAGTGATGGGACGCTTGCCTAACATGCACGAGGCCCTAGGTTTAATACTCAGTACCGCCCCCCCCAAAATGCTTTATCTCTCTGCACATATGCACACACACAGCAAGACCTCTCAACTTCCAACTCTTCTAGTGGGTACAATAAAAATAAAATCCTCAGTTGTACTGACCCACCATTTGTGAAAACGAAAAAAGTCACTTTTTAAAAAAAGACAGCCGGCGGGATAGACACCAGATTCCCATTCCTTGAGCGGCCTAGCAGGAAATCACAGGTCCTCTCACCGCCCAGAGGAGCGGAACAGACGTCTAGTGCGCAAGCGCGCACCTGCTCGGTGACTGAGGCCACGCCCCCACGCCCCTTGCCCCTCCTCTGCCTCTGCCCGCCCCTCCCATCCTGCCTTCTCGGCGCCTCCGGCTCTCCTCCGAGCCCGCCTCTGCCCTCCAGGCCCCGCCCTTTCCGTCACGCTGCGCCTCCGCCCCGCGGTCGCTCGGCGG